CTCTCCTGGCAGCCCTGAAGTATGGTTTTGGACTGGTGTCATAAAGTGATAAATATTGTCTAGAGAAAGTTTAGACAACATCTAAGATCATTAGCTGCGACTGACATCTCTTGCCACAGAGTATTCTGAACTTCCATTAAGGGTAAGACTGTGTTTTATGAGCAGCTCAAGCCATCGTTGTTCCAGCCTCTTCTGTCTGGTAGAAGCTATAGATCTACCCTTTTTAGGAACAGTGTTTATCGTCCGGTTACAGAGAGATTTGTCATGCTAGAGCTTGAGTAATTCTGTCTGTGATGGTAAGTGTGTGGGTGGTGCAGTGGTTAGCATTATGCTGCCTTGCACAAATGAGGCACTGGGTTCAATTCCTGGGGTTCTATCTGCAAGGAGTTTGTATGTTCTCACCATGTTAACTTGGGTTTATTTCGGTCCCAAGATATAATGGTAAACTAATGGTCTTCTGGGAACATTGGCCTTGGTATATTCCTGTGTCTGCACTGTGATGGACTGGTGTGCCGTCCCAGAGAAATCCAGCCTTGTGCCCATTTCTTTCTGGGATAGATTATCCCCTGCAACCCTCAACTGGATAAAGAGGATATAAAATGGATGGATAGTACTGTATGTATGCATAGTGCGATTCAATTATCATGACCAAATATTATTTAAACGAAAGGGGAAAAATGACACAGTTTAAGTTTAGTGTAAGTAATGTTTCACAGGAGTAATGCTGACTTTTCACACCATTGCGATCAGTGATCTGAAATGTGAGCTCTTCATAAAAGAATGATAGCATATTTCCCAGGTTCTGAATGTAGTAATTTTACACTTTGGGAGCATGATCATTTGGTTTCAGAGTCTTGCTTGCACTATGCTTTCCTATTGCTTTACTGTACTTCACTGTGCAATTCCACACTGGACTTAACTTCTAGAATTGCTTACAAATTAAATGTTTTTGAAATACAGAGCACACCTGTGGTAAAAGGGCCAAATTAATTTGATAGAAATTTTGATACAATTTAGGTCTTCAAAGAGAGAAACTGTTTGCATATAGTTTCTTGGTGGCCTCATTAGTGTCAGTTACTGTTTTACAGCTGCTTTTATGAAACTGTCTGTGTTCCGAGCATTTATTTTTATTTTGTAATTTGGCATTGATGGGGGCTGAAAAAGCTGAATCACTCGCTCATAAATGCTCACAGGCAGTTTGTGTTTGTTCTCATTACCTGTTTCAACTGGCAGGAGGTGACTGACGTTTATATAAAAAGAACCACCAACATGGATGATATGTTATGTTTGATTTATAGATGCTATGACAGAAGTGTATAATGAATGAATGAATTTATGGAGTTTCACATTGACATGTTTCTTAGAATGATTTCAAAAGCAGCCAGGCAGCCCATGTCCATATACTATTAAACCCAGTGCACTTCATCATTGTGAAATATTTCTCAATGAGATCTAACAGGGGAAAAACGCTGCCTCACTGATAGAAATATAGATATGAATGGTTACAGTGTTACAGGAAAGAAGGGGCCTGATTGTTCACTTTATCTTCTCTTGAGTTAAGCAGTCTTTACAAACGAGAACAAAATGGCAATGAAATGCATCCCACTGCATTTTCAGATTTCACTGAAACATGAGCCTGTAGCAGTGTTCATGGACTCTGCACAGCTTTTGGCCTCAGTACGGGAATATCTCTGTGGTTTGGAATGTAAGATTTCATTAGAATCTGTAATGTATTTAACAGTTTATGTAAATCCGATCGCATTTGGTATTTAAATTAATACCACTCAGAAATTTAGTACTGTATTCAACCTTTATACCTAGTGATTTTGAATAGATGCTCATCATTCAGACCATTGCTACTGTTAAATCCCCTTTAGCTTTCCTCATTAGAGTTCCTGGAGTTCAAGGGATATTCGCAAAAGCCGCTGTCAGTCTATGTCAGAACAAATAAATCCCAAAAAACTATTTAATACTTCCTGAGTTTTTTTTAAACGACTTATGATACACTGTAAACTGTACTGCTGGATCCCCCAACACACTCCAAACCATCCTTTCAAAACCATCCATCAATTTTCTGAGTGCTGCCTCCAATTCAGGTCCTTTGAAAACCTTCACACTTTCTCAGTAACCTAATAATAATAATAATAATAATTATAATTGCTTACACTTATATAGCGCTTTTCTGGACACTCCACTCAAAGCGCTTTACAGGTAATGGGGACTCCCCTCCACCACCACCAATGTGCAGCATCCACCTGGATGATGCGACGGCAGCCATAGTGCGCCAGAACGCGCACCACACATCAGCTTTCGGTGGGGAGGAGAGCAGAGAGTAATGAAGCCAATTCATAGATGGGGGGATTATTAGGAGGCCATGATTGGTAAGGGCCAATGGGAAATTTGGCCAGGACGCCGGGGTTACACCCCTACTCTTTTCGAGAAACGCCCTGGGATTTTTAATGACCACAGAGAGTCAGGACCTCGGTTTTACGTCTCATCCGAAGGACGGCACCTGTTTACAGTATAGTGTCCCCGTCACTATACTGGGGCATTAGGACCCACGTGGACCACAGGGTGAGCGCCCCCTGCTGGCCCCACTAACACCTCTTCCAGCAGCAACCTTAGTTTTTCCCAGGAGGCCTCCATCCAGGTACTGACACACCTGCTTAGCTTCAGTGGGTTGCCAGTTGTGAGTTGCAGGGTGACATGGCTGCTCCATCCGTAGTGGAGAGAAACCTAACCAGTTAGCCGGGGTCATAATGTACATTTGACGGAGCAACCTTAGGCCTGTTGGACTTTACTGCATGAGAATTCCATGTGCAGCTCCTCAACCCTTTGCTTCTGCTATCTGTAAGTGCTGGGCACTGGTCAATATTAAACTGCTTTTCAAATTCATATCTTCTCCAGCACTATGGCTGGCTCCTGTTAGAAATGCCTCTGTGTATTGGCCCTGGGCGAAAAGATACCGTCAAGTGCTGCTTTTCGGCCTCATGATGATGATGTAATGGAATAAACGGGCCAGGACCTTACTCAGAGCTACTCAAGCTCTATAAGCCTCCCTGTCATACTGTACCTCTGTGTATAAGATCACAGGGCGGGCAGCATGATGAGCCACACTTCTGAAGGATTTCAGGAAGTTTTACAATGAAGTGTTTATCGGATTAGTTTGCTCCACTTGCCCTTTTTGTCTGATGAATCCTTTCTTCCCTGTTGCTTTTCCCTTTTTGTATGAGTCCTCCGAGTTCTGTTTTTTCAGCACTGGGCTGACTGCTCACTACTGCAGCAAAATGGAACAGCTTGGGAAAAGACTTAGCTATGGTGTGGAAGAGAGAGCAGTAAGGTGAGGAGAAGCTGGCCAGCGATCATGGGCTGAAGGACAGTGGGATCTATTTCCCAGTGCCTTCTCCCCACTCTCCTGTTTCTCATTCGTAATCCTCCTGCTCCCCTACTCCACAATAATTCAGAAGCAATAATGGACACACACTATAGAGCTATACTGTCTGGTGCTACCTAAACAAACAGCTGTTCGGACACCATTTTCTGATCCTACAATCTTCATCTTTCTGACTGTGCCCTTTTTAGTGCCACTGTCTTGTGCCACTATAGTCCCTTTTGCTATATAACTTTATATACTATACTTGTACACAGATTTGTTTAGCACGTACTGCAATCCCCTGCACTGTAGAAAACTGCACTTTATTGACAGAATGTAACTAATACACTTTGACAAACTTTTTTTTTCCAGAGTAACATAAGTCATTACACTGTGCATATTATACCTTTTTTCAGTTGCCTTGGATAACCATGTCAAACAAATAACAAAGAAGTAGCTTTTCCTAATAGAATTTGATGAGCCTGCTCAACATGGAACAAATGAGGTTTAAAGAAAATCTTCATATGTCTAAAGGGAGTTGTGGTTGCCATTGATTTAAATGGAACAACTGTACAGTACCTTCTGTAGAAATGTCTTTAATGAACACCAGAGATGGCTGGCCTGGCAAAGTTTAGAGCCGCTCAGTTATGAAAAATCAGGCAGGGACATTTAATTATTCTGCACTATGTGTTCAGAGCTATTATCTACCATTTGCCATGGCAACATGAAATATTGTTATGTACATCCTAAATATTTATACATACATACTTTCTAGCTTGACTACAAATGTCAGTTGCTCTGCATGATCTCATTTGTGAACACTGTACGTCTGCAGATGAGTTTATACCATTGCTCAGACACTTAAGGGTGATGTAATGATTTCCCAGAAAATGTAGCTCTAGATCGAGAGCTTTAAAGTTGTAAAACAAAAAGGTGATGTTTCTCTGCTTTAACAAGACAGTTTTGTCTTGTCTTGTTCTGCTGTGCATCTTTGTATTTCTTGTCAGTGACACAGCATGAGATCAGACTTTTTCTGCCTGGGCTCTCTTTATGTCTAAGAGTTTTCAGAAACAGTTTCTAAACCTGCCACGTTGTTGTCAAAACTGGCAGGCAAGTGGGAGGACAGCGCCATGTTGTGGCACTGTACTGAAATTTGTAATTTGGACAAGCAATTCACCCTACTCCTGCATGAAGTCTGCAGAATAAGTCATTTGTGAAGATAAAGGTGAATATTACATCATAATTCCATTATAATTATACTACAACAGTGGAGCAAAACTTACAACCATGATATGCTAAACATGAGAGTACATTCAAGCTCATTCTTGATGTGTGTCCCTTATCATACTCTTTCTTGCATTGCTTTGGCAGAATTAACATAGAAAAGAAAGACAAGCAAGTGAACTTTTTTCAGTGCACAAACTGCATTTTTTTTTTCAGGATTCTCCATCGTGCTTATTCTTTTCCTAACTGAGGTGAAAAACCCCAGAGAGCAGCCCGAGGATAAGAATAGTTCAGAACGAGAAAGTGGCCTGTGCTGTCGAGCTGTAGTTGTGACAGCCAGGACAGCAAGCAGGGCTGTGATGAGCACTTCTTTTCTAATATGTGGCTGTGTTTCTGAACCTAGGTGGAGATCACTCAGGCTGTGCTCAGCATTGGAAGACCGTGATTAGGACATAGTCGAATGACATGCAGCCCCAGGTAATGCCTTTGGCAGGAGTGAGATGACCACAACATCATACAAGCTTACAGTACAATACTTATCAATCAATCAATCAATCAATCAATCAATCAATCAATCAATCAATCAATCAAGGTTTATTTATCAATGCATGAACAGTACACCCATACAGCGGTGTTGTTGGCAATGAAATGCTTTATAAAGCATCTTCCACCTATCTGCATTTGCTTCTGTTGTTTTCAGCTTGTTGAACTTGTATTGCTAAAACATTTCACCTTGCCTTTAAAAAATTTAAAACTACAATTAAGTTAAAACAAATTACAACAGAAGATACTACAGCTTGGCAAGCCAAGGACTGTCCCAGACTCGACCCTAGTTGCTTAATGATGGTAATGTTTATGGCACTACCCTTGGCACTGCCTGGCACAGTTGGACCTGTGCTTGCCCTCTAGAGTGAGGCGCTTAAAATGAGCCCCAGATGAATGTGTTCTTGATCTTTGCTACAGCTGAGCAGGCCCATCCTTGCCAGTGTTACACAACTTAATTCTATCCACTTCTTCTCAAAAGCAGCCCTGGAGACTGTTGGGCACAGGTAAGTCATGTAGCTCCGATTTAAGCCTGCCCTTTCCAGTTTGTGGATTTTTTTCCACTCTGGGCCAAAACGTTTGAAACAGATGAGCCCCCTTCCCCACTGTCACCTTCAGACACTTATTCTCTGGTGCCGGTCTTGAGAAACAGAAAAACCCAGGTGGCTTGTGTTTAAAAGACCAGCTCCACTAAAGAAGGACAAAACAATGGAGGTTCAACAGAAGAGGACATTTTTGTAACGATAGAGAGGTTACAGCTGGGCTGTGCCAAGACACAGGTTAAAGAAACCAATCTGAGTAAAATTCCAAAAGCTGTTTCAGTGGAAGTGATTCCCCCAAGTCTGCTGGAAAAGTGCATTTGGATTTTAATTCCACCTGAAAGGATGTGCTTTTAAAACAAACAAGGCGGACAGCAACAGAGAAGAAGAAAAAATAAACTAGTTGTGGACAGGCTTAAATTTCCATTAAAATAGCCCGAACTCTTAACAACAAAAAGCGGCTGTGCTGATTTATCTAGATACAGTTTCACAAACTGTGAGAAAAGCGGGATCTTCTCATGACCCTGAGGTACAAACACACACAGAAAGAGTAGGAGAGTCTCTCCCAGATAAACACACAGAGGAGGAGGCGGGGAATGGGTTTCCAAGGAGACCAGGGCAATTGTACCATTACCCTGCATCAATCTGGTGACTTGACTCCCCCCCACAGCCCTCATTTCCTTCACAGGACCTCACTTTTTCAGAATGGCTGCGATGGGCAATTAATTGCCACATAATGAGCCTGCCTTTACAGCCTTGTTTGTGTATAGCCCTTTTCTCCGGCCTTGCAAGGGAGACAATTAAGGAGGTGGAACACCACTGCCGAAAAGTTCGTTTTCCATAAATTAGTAGCCTCTCCCCCTGAGCCGCAGATAAAGGGCTAATTAGTACCCTGAAGAGGCAGTGAGGTTTATGTCTGTGTTTTTTTTAGCCACATAGAAACCTCTGTAAGAGTTCAGACTGACCACACTGCCACACACACTTTTTAAAGCAGAAACCCAAATGTGTGCTGTTGTTTAAGTAAGAAGCAGAAACTATGTATATACAGTAGCTTCCTCCATGTTATGTTTTTCAGAATACCTTATCATCTTCCTGTAGTAACATCTGGGCTGAGGAGTGTAACACTTTTTTCAGGTCTAAACAATGTCTAACTTTGGCAAATATCTTGGCAATAATATAAATATATATAGAACAGCAAGAGTGAGACTTCAATGCTTGTTTATTAAAAAAACTGCTTATAAATATAAATTATTATTCAAAATACCAATCAACCAAATGTAATCATTATTAAACTAGAGAAATGCACATTACGTAGAATATAATACATTAAAGTCGCTGGTAATTTTCTGAATTGCAGAGTAAAGAGAAGCAAATGAAATGGACAAAATGTAATGCCTAATTAACTCATTTCAAAGGTTTAGATTGCATAATTCTATAATTGGTTTCAGAAACCGGTTTGCATTCATGCAGATGTTTGTGAGGCCTACTGTTTCTGAAGGCTCTCCGGACTGTTTGTTCATGTCTGTACTCACAAGGTGGTGTCTGTGACTTGGACCCGCTAAGTAGCCAGTGCCGCCCGGAAATCTGCATGGAAAACCCCACAGTTAATTAAAAATTTGTTTATTAAAGGTTAAGGGAAAGGGGTTTGTTAGCAGAAGGTTTCGTGTTCAAGCTTTGTCTTTGCAACCTGCTGTTTGCTGCCTTGAGTGAAATGTATGAATCTCTTTTGTACTCTTTTAGCTTAGCTGAAAAACTTACTTATTATCGTCACCGACCTGGTTATTTCATTGATTTTTTCTGGTCTCAGAGAATTCTTGCTTGAAACGTTGTTGCTAAATGACACGTCAGGGAAACCCTGTTCCTTCTTGAGCTCTTTAACAAGGGGCGGGACGTGTTGTTTCTGTGTCCCTGTGCTTGTGAACCTGCAGAGGCAGGTGGAAATTCTGGATCATTCCCACGGCTCCCGGATTGTCTTCTCGGATGACACCCTGAACGCACAGCGCTTCTACCCTTCTCCCCCTGCCCCCCAGCGCTGGACTTCTCGGTTCTCCCCAGGGGCAGCAATGACAGAGAACTTTCCCAAACTAGAAGACTTCATCCCCGCTCACCTCTACTCCGATCCTGCCCAGGGCGTGGGGCTGTCACCAGGGCTGCCCACCCCACCCCTAAGCCCCTCCCACACTTCTTCCCCTGGTCACGGACATCAGCCAGAGCCGCAAAAAGCAAGTTGACTGCTGCTTCCCCTTCCTTTCTCTCCACTGACTTGAATCCTGTAGACAGTCATGAAACTAGAGCACGTGGGAAGGCACTGGCAGTGCTGGATGTAAAGACAGCTGAGTCAGTTCACTCACATAGGAAGTGACCCCTGCCTTCAAGAGCTTCGCTGCCTCTATGGAGCAGTTCATTTTTTATGCATGTGCTTGTGTTTTCAGAATCCACACTGTGCGGCAATGGCGCACAATATCGCAAGCAGGGTCTGCGCAGCAGACAGACCGGCCCGTGTTTATGCTGGGCTGTCAGCAGACTTAACCACCCTGCCTTGCTCTCAACACTGAAATCGGAATGCAAAACTAGAAACATCTGATAGTCTTTAAATTTGTTTGGGAAACTGCATGAAATTAGAAAGCACTGTCTGCATCCAAATATTGTAAACAGTGGTGAATACACTACAGCCTTATATGATGATGAATTTGTACAATAGTTCTAGGATTTACCGTATATGGGGATAATTCATGACAATTCATTCATGTTTTTATACCTCCCAAAACAAATTGTTCCTAGTTTTGGGACTCAGTTTAAAACCTTGACCTATTGCAAGCATTCCATCCCTGTTCTCTAGGGTAGTGCAGCTCCCATAAATACATAAAGACAAAATAGAGAATAGCAGACAACTTAAATGCATCTGCTGTAGATACAATCATGATATCAGAAAACTGTGCCACCTTGTGGTAACAACAACACATTACACCTAGTCTGGGTGGATTCTGACAAACCACAGTTTGTTCTCGTACAGAAGTTGTCGGTTAATCAATTGAGACAGATAATTTGCTTCTCTGTCTTCCTCTGGATTCAAAATAAAGTGTCCTTCTAAAGCAGATTATATACATGCTTTTCTTTACCTGCTTAGTGTTGTGATATTATAAGCCTGCAGGTTTAGTAGCTTGTTTTCAGCCCGTGAATTACTCATGATTTGGGGAAGCATGGAATAGTAAGCAACAAAAAAAAACTGTTCAAACGTTTCTATAGCAGTTGTCATGTTTTGAGTTTTTAGCTTTTGTTTCACGCTTTCAACTTACAGAACTTGTTGAACTTATATTGTAAGATGAATGTTTTAAGCTTTATTTCTATGAAACCAGGAGCAAGTTTTTAAAGCAAAACGTTTGAAAATAATTACCTTAGCGATTGAGGAAGCATCTTCAAATGATGTCAATTTATGGATCATCAGCACTTCAAGCATTTTGCACACAATTCTTCCACTATACTGTACCTCATCTTAGTTTTAGTCCTGTAATTCTAACCAGGTAACAGAAGGTAACAGAGGAAGAGGCAGGCCTAGAAAGAGATGGATAGATTGTGTGAGAAAAGATATGGAGGTGTGTGAAGTGAGTGAGGAAGATGTGCTCGACAGAGTCAAGTGGAGAAGAGCAACCAAAGCAGTTGACCCCAGGACAGTCTGGGACCAAAGCTGTGAAAAAGAAGAAGAAGAATTCTAACCAGTGCAGCTCCATGTGTCAGCATCTGACTTCTTTGTGTGCTTTTCTCTTTTAGCTCATGGATACCAGTGTGGCTGGCTCCCTCACCCTCAACTTTGGATTCAATGACACCCTGTCCCAGTCATCCAGTACAAGGGTATCCCAAAATGGTACTGACCAACACGTTCTCAAGACGCATGGTACGTCTATAGCAAAATATAGTGAATGATAGAAGAGGGGGTACAGGGGATGAGATCTATTTTCCGGTATCAAAGCCAAAGTTTATTTTTCAAATATTGTTTTTCTGCACTAATATAATGACTCATCGTTTCTCAGTCTGACTGGGGTGGTCTGCTACACAGTGAAACATCGACCGGGGCTTTTTAAAAAAGAGACCCCGGGGCACTTTTTTGCACAAAGGGCTGAACTATTTTGTTGAGAGAACACTGGCTTCTCTCAAGAAACGGTTGGATAAGATCCTTGGATCAATTAGATTAGATCAATTTGATCATTGGATCAATGGTATCAAACTACCAAAACAGCCTCATGGCATTTGTATCTTTTCCTATGTTCTTGTGTGCATGAGTTTATTGTTCCACCATCCTTACATGGGTGGAACTGAGTGTATAGTGCTACCAAAGTGTGATGTAATCGTCTGGGCTCTCTCTCACTGGGAAGGGACACTGCTGAATGGCTCTGGCACAATGCTGGGCACTGCAGGCTGGCGGGACATAAACTCCGCCCCCTGGGGGGGACCTCCAGCACAGATCCTGGGAAGCAACCCTGCCAGCGCCCTGGCACAGACTCCCAGCCTGCACCACAGCAGGCTGGCCTCCGATGGATTCCCCAACAGCATCCTCCAGACAGGACAGGCCCTGGAGAAACTCCCACCCAGTTCCGAGCCAAGGACTCTGTCAGCTCAGAGACCGCCAGGCAACTCTGGGACCCTCCACACAGCGGAGAGGTGGGTGAAGTTTGCTGGCATCGGGCCCGTGGATGAAACAGGGATGCCCATCGCCTCCAGATCGGTAGGTACAGTAGAGCTACGTCTATATATCTATCTTTATATGTCAAGCTGTGGGCAATGGGAGCTATGTTATGGATGCTATTTAATTGGTATTCTTCAAGAAATACCATGCTACAGCTTTTGGATCAGGAAGCTAACTTGAAGTACAAGTTCTACCTTTTTTTTAAATCTATTCCTCTTGATTGGCCATGCAATCTGTTCTAAACAGATAAATCTAATTCTAAACAGGCTAATCTAATTAGCACAAAACTAGTTCTAACAAAAAGCATTATCTGTATATGATTTTTATACCGAGCATGGTCCTCAATATATTAACAACACTTTCCTTTGTTGCTCTGTATCTGAAATTGACTATTTTCCCTTTTATGCAGCTACAGTATATGTCTGTTAAAGTGAGGAACAGGACATCACTTCACTGGTTTGCTATAATAACTGCTTTTAAATGCACTAACTCGCACAGCATTCCACAGGCATTAAACATGCTTAACACTGGAATGGTGTATAAGCATGAATTATGTGGAGCGCCACAGATGATAGGGATAATAATGGCTTCTTTCTTTCCCTTTATCCCTGTTTGAGTTTCTCCCACTGTTGATTTTACAAGACTTTCACATCTTTTCATCAGCTTACAATTTTCTCTTTCCAAGAACTGGGTAAGTTCTCTCCCCGTTCAGAGTTAAGGGATTAAGAAACAAACAGGCCTGGCTGTTGTCTTTTCCCTCTGTGCCGTCTTGCATTTCAGTTCGGCTTTTATTTCCCCTTTCTCTTCCGAGCCATTGTCTCTCCTCGTCTCTCAACTCCCACCCGTTTCGTTTTTTCTCTTTGTACGGCAGAGTGTGAACAAGCCCAGAGACTGGTACAGGAGCATGTTCAAACAGATCCACAAGAAACCAGAAGGTAAGGAGCACTTCCTGGGCTATTTGTTAAGAGAGAATTCCTGTATGTCAGTGGCAGCTGTCAAAAGCGGATCGAAGGCCAGATTACTCCTGGAGCCAGGTAGTGAAGGAAATCCGAGAACTTTTCAGGGCTAATAATGACTCCCAGGCAGTCGGGGTCGCCCGCATTGTGATACCAAAACAGTGGTTTTAGTGGTCTTACACTTCAGTCTTGATTTTCTGACTAGCTGGGTTTTTCACTCAATTGGCCGAACACATTTTTTTTTTGTTTGTCAGCTGCAGATTTTTAAGTTGCTTATGAAACACAGCAGTTGGAAGGCAACTTCCAAAATGTTTAAAAGCTGAAAAAAATTGAATAATTCAAATTGAATTAATTGAGGGTTTGAGAGCTTAACTTAATTAATTTGACTTCACTGATATTTAACTGAGAACGTGATTGGAATAAACACCAATTGAGCTGGGGGCTGGGGGTCCCCTGGACTGTAACTGGGAACCCCCGTGAATCAAGGTACCATTTCTGTGCTCATAAAATATTCTGAGGCCAAGAGAGCACCTATAAGTGTGATGATTTGATTTCATAATTGGACCCATTGAGAGAACAAAATCAGCTCAAATAAAATCCCAAAGATACTGCAGGAATGTAAGAGTTAAGCTGGAAACTCTTGATGGGTGTTTCAGCCATTAGTCTTGTGATGAGGTTTTGCTACCCCACCTTAAAAAATCTGTTTGGACTGTGTTGATCTCTGTTGTCTCATGGTATCTCAATGCTCCAGGAAGCCGGTGCATTCTCCGTTAATTTGATTTCTCACATTTTGTCCTTCATTGCAGAGTTTGATTTTGATGACAGTGGGCCTCGTTCTCCTGATGGTGAGTACTCAGAATAAACATGTCAACACAAGCAGTTATAACCTGCTTCCTATAACCCGGGTATAGATTAGGTTCAAAGGAGGGCTTTTCTTCTGAGGTAAGGAGTACAAAACTGTATCCTGATGAAGCCTTAGCCCTGGGGTATCCAACCCTGATCCTTGAGAGCCCCAGTTAGTCTGCTAGGTTATGTGTTTCTGAATTTAGGGAACATCTTTAAATTATTGCTAAATTAAGCAAGTCCTGTATTCAGTTAGAAGAATTGTGGTCCTTAAGGACTGAGGGCAACTAAGACTTTATTCCTAAATGATTATTCAATTTCTTAATTTAACAAATCACGTGCTTACCTCATCATAATTCAATTGTTCAGAGACTTTAGAAATTGTTGATGTAATGGTGTTCTGTAAATCGTGCTGCACTGGACTTTCCGGGACCAGGACTGGACCCTCCTGACTTAGCTGAATCATCCAGTCTTTGGAGTGGTTCTTACAGGGCATCCCAGGAGGCCTTGCCTGGATTTGGTTGGTCTCAAGGATGATGGGAGTGCCCGGTCTTGTTGGGTAGGCAATAAATGCAGAAAGGCCCTTGGGTGGGGTGACCTTTGTGTTCTGTTTTTATTTCAGAGCTTCACACTATCACACTAACCCTTAGTTGCCTAACTGATGATACTGTTGATGGCTGCATTTTACCAGTCAGAACTGGGAAATTTGCTTTAACGGATGTGCCAATGTTTCCTACTGTAGATCTAAACCATTTGCTATGCCAGGACAAAAAGCAAAGAATTCAGATCAAACCAACTGTAATTTGGGCAGAGCAAATATTCATACATATTTGATAATAATGCCTCCAGGACTTACTGACTCTTATGAAAAGGGGAAGAGGATTGCCTATGTCCATGGCAAAGGCAGGGCATTCTATTAACATCTCCTTGGGAAGACAGAACCTCTTATAGTACAGTGCCTGCTGTACAACTCCCATGGTCTGAATCCTGTGGTCTAGACTGGATATTGAATACTCCTTATGGTTTCATTCAGCTCCACTTTAAACAGCTTAGCAAACTGCTGAATTTTAGTTTTTTGGCCTCCTGCTTAAAGTAGGCTAGGTCTAGTTCTGCTGATTGAAAGACAATTGAGTTCACTGGTCTCCAAGGGGAAGTGGCTACAGTATCACATTTTTCTTTTTACATGTACTGTATATACTTTAGTGACCATTCCTTTTCAAGTCAGGCTTTGGTCATCTACCAGTATGTCACAGACAAGATTGACAGGCATGTTGCAATTATTTCCTTCCCCAACTCCTCCAGCTCTCCTTATTGAGTACCACCATAGGAAAACAATATCCCTTCCACGACATTCCTCTGGGATTCACTTAAAAGCTAAATACATAGAAGAAGTATGTATAGAAGAAGCAGAAAAGCAACTTATAATATTTTGCTATTCTTGAAAAGCTTTACTTCTTATTTTATTTCACTAAGAACACCATTTTCCCAGGAAACAGTGAAAGCAGAGTCACCACTCATTTCCTGGCTAACAGCTTTGTTTCACATTGATGCCTTCTGCACTGCTCCAGGGGAACCCTGTACCTCCAGGCGCCTCTCTCCTCTTGAGACGGTAGACAGACGCAGCTCGGACGGAGACCCCTTCGCCCGCACTCTGTACGGCTCCCTTCCTGACTGGTAGGTGGCCACGAGCGTAAAGTCACACAGCTGTTCCAGCTCCATCCTTCCAGGTTGGAGAAGGCTTGGGACAGCCTCACTGCTCTGTCTTTAATCACACGGCAAAGCAGCAACGTTTTGAGCCGTAAAAAGCTGCTCACATCTTCGACACCACTGTGAGTCTATGCAGGCAGTATTTTTCCTGATAAGTACACCAGTGGAATGAAGGTAAGAGCTTGAAATTCTGTCCAGTTGGAAAGTTCTCCTTTTTGTTTTTGCTTTCAGTTCTACTTAATTGTTTAAAACCGAATATAGTGCTGTGGCACTCGACCCAGGGGACCTAGTCGATTATCCCAGGAGACCTAGTATAGGGAGTGTGCACCAGGATTTGAGGGGATCTCAGGTTAGCTAGGATCCTCAGTCGATTGAACACAGGTGGCCTCCGGACATTAATAATAATAATTATTATAATAATTGCTTACACTTATATAGCGCTTTTCTGGACACTCCACTCAAAGCGCTTTACAGGTAATGGGGATCCCCTCCACCACCACCAATGTGCAGCCCCACCTGGATGATGTGGCAGCAGCCATAGTGCGCCAGAACGCTCCCCACACATCAGCTGTCAGTGGGGAGGAGAGCAGAGTAATGAAGCCAATTCATAAATGGGGATTATTAGGAGGCCAATGGGAAATTTGACCAGGATGCCAGGGTTACACCCCTACTCTTTTCGAGAAACGCCCTGGGATTTTTAATGACCACAGAGAGTCAGGACCTCGGTTTTACATCTCATCCAAAGGACGGCGCCTGTTTACAGTATAGGGTCCCCGTCACTATACTGGGGCATTAGGACCCACATGGACCGCAGGGTGAGCTCCCCATGCTGGCCCCACTAACACCTCTTCCAGCAGCAACCTTAGTTTTTCCCAGGAGGTCTCCCATCCAGGTACTGACCAGGCTCACACCTGCTTAGCTTCAGTGGGTTACTAGTTGTAAGTTGCAGGGTGATATGGCTGCTGGCATGTGACGTTGTGACATTGTCAGAATGTGACATTTGTTATCTGTGGCTTTGTGGCATGATCAGGAAGGACAGGTTGTATTTTCTGATTAGATAAAACAAATATATATATATCTGACCATAAAGGTGAGAAATGTTTTCACATGACAACAATCATTCTCTTTTTATTAATCCAAAGTAAGTAGCATTTGTTCCTCTGTATGGGGGTTTGGTGCTCTTGGATCTCAGAGATGCATACTGTATGCTGTATATTGGATCTAGCTGAAAGGAAAAGACATGGGACAAGGAAAACAAGATGAGATCTGTCAGGACAGGCAGGAGCAAGGAATCCACGATAAAGCAGCTGTGCTTCTTGTTTTTAAGGAGTGAGCTGGGGCCTGGAAACACACAAACAGTCCAAGGCAAACAGCCCCCAGAGCCAAAGAGCATATTCGACTACGAACCAGGAAAGACTTCGACTCTGGGAAGCGAAAACCAGGTAAGATGACTTGCTCTCTCGCAGCATTTCACAATCACCATTGTTCCTGCACCGGTAACAGCGTGGTTTTCACATGGATACGAATGATTCAGCGTGATTTGGTGAAGTCTGACTGAGACATCCAGATCATTTCCTGAATATATTTTATAGTCCCAACAACCCATTCTACAACCCATTCTATGTAAACCTTGTGAAAAGCCATATCTCTGGAGATCCCAAAACAGGTTTTGAAATCCCATTGTGGCCTAGTTGTTAAGCTGACCTCTGTCTAAAAACCATGCTTAAATGTGAGCACAGTCAAGCTACTTGGTTAGAGGTTGGACTACTGCTTTTTCCCCAGGAGTCTTATGCTAAAGAACCCCAGAGAACCCCAGTTAAATTCGGGGGGTTGAAGCAATGTCCTGCTGTATACTGACAGGATGAGAGAACTGAATTTGTTTAGTCTTAAACAGACAAAACTATAATACAAGTATTGAAAATCCTCAGTCAACCAGTGGATGTCAGTAGAATAAACAGCAAAATGCCAACCAGAGAACACAAGTGAACACTAGGAAAAAGTGCATTTAATGGCAAGGAGACACCTTTTTACTGCACGTGAAGGTTGTTCAAGTGTGGAACAAGCTACCCAGTCATGTTGTTGAAGTCTTTACGATGACGTCCTTGAATTGATTAGCTATTGACCAAAGAACGGTCCAGATGAGCCAAATGGCGTTCTCTCATTTATAACCATTCTTATGTTCCTATATCAATGTCTTAACTCTTCGAAAATAATATTTCTTCCTAAAATACCTCTAAAACAAAATGCAAAGCTGCTCTATTTAAATTAAAAAGTGCCTATTTAAATAGCAACCAAACCTCTAGAGAAAATATATACTGCAGGACAAAAAACTGCTCCTTAGCATTCTACAGAGAACTGTTTTACTTGAAAGTAAAGGAAACATAAAGATTTCGAAAATGCATAGTGACTATGCAGATTGGACAATTATTAGTGTTCTATTCATCGGTTTTGCATTCATTGCACTACTGTTAAAATTTGCCTTTGCTGTACCCATTGGGTTGGGCAGCAATACCAGGATAGCTGCTGGTGCTTTGTCTAGTATAAACAAGCTCCTGTTGCCTAGCTGTCTGACGGTGTGGACGAGCCCAAGCTTGTGCTACCTGCCTGCACAAGGGCTAAAATCACAAAATCTTGAGCCTGTTCACCAAATGCAAGAAGGGATCCTGCAGGTTTATTCAGTGAAGAGTGTGGAATTTAAACTGACAAATTTCACCAGTGATCTTGGGATTTTGTGGGTGTTGTCATTTCCATTAAAGATTAGGAACTGTAAGCTGATTTAAGCATGCTCTTCAATACAGCAGCGCTAAAAGACCCAGTGTACACCCTTGTGCTACTAATTCCAGACATTTCCTAAACTAGATTAGTATTAAGGTCTGGATCCTGATTAAATTACTAGATACTCTACATTTATTTGGTAGTAATAGTTTTATTGAAAATAAACACATATCTAAACATCCATTTCTATGAAAAAGAGTCAGCTATTTTTGGAATCCTTACAATGGCTTTGTGTAGGTCCCAGATATTTAACCATATTGATCAATTCTTCCTGCTACTATATGTTGTATAGGGATATGCAATTCAGTATATGACCTTCAAGCCACGCTACATTAGGTACCATTTGAAATCTCTAAATTTTTTCGGAAGCTTATCATTTGCCCAGGCAATATGGAGAAGAAAGGGCTTCATTTGGGAGTGCTTTAAATGATTCCTGTCAACATCCCACATCTACAAAAAAGTGGCTATTTAAATAGCAATTGGATATGGCTATTTCTGTCTGAAAAAAAGACATCATTGTTCCATACCCTATATTAGTCTGAACCTGGGTGAGTTGTCCTGTGATTCAGATTATCTCATTAACTGATTGTAGGTATCTAACGCTGGGTAGAACATTCCCTGATTTAATTTCTGTAGCTGTTTCCTGTTTCTTCACATAGAGAGCATAGCATCATGATAACGCAATCATGATTCACCGGCTGGTTTTCACAGTCCATATCAGGTGTTGTATTCTCAGGAGATTACCTCATAGTCTTTGTGTTGTTTTCATTGCGGAGATGGAGCTGGCTGTGACAACAGCTTTGGCATTGAGACTACCTCATCATATAGTATAAAGGAATTTCAAGGGAAAAACAAACTAAGAAAATTGCAGCTATGTTTTTTTCATCTTCAGCATTTCGTCTGCTATAAAGTGCTTGCTTGCTCCATGTCCTTTCCTGTGTTTCGCTGTGAGTCTTTTGGCAGGTTCAATTCAACAGACTGAATTATACAGTCTAACCTGCACATTTTCATTCCTATAAAACAACCAGATTTTTGACCTCATGCAATATAAGCCTCAGGCGGTCCCAGTCAGACTGTTAAGGGTTTCCTCAGAATATGTATGCAGGATGGAATCTGCCTTCTGTCTTTGCTGAATTAATACTTCAATCACTAGTATAGCATTAAAAGAAGGAAACCAGATTTGAGAGACAGCTGTTTAAGAAGGTAAAGTGCCAGATTTGGAAGAGCAACTTGTTTCTGTGATGGGATGGAAAGTATTTGCAAGCCGCCGTTGAGCAAGCTGTGTCTGGGAATGTATTCCATTCCAGAGGGCAGTCCAGTAATCCTGCTTTTCTCACTTCTGTACCTCAGAAGGAAGAATCTCCAAAACATCTTTTGAAGGAGCCTCGCTTGCTGCCTATAGAGGTGAGTTTCAGATGTGTTGACTAGAAACCTGACCTTCTGTGGTTTGTCGGAAAGAGAAGATTGAGAGAACTGAAGTTTTCTTGAGCAGCTCTTTTGTTTCACACTGTCGACTACATTTTAAGGGTCTTCAAAGGTAAAAGGCCTCCGCACAGAGAGAAGAGTGACATTTTAAAACTCCGGGGTACGTTAGTGTTGCCTGGTAACAGCTTACTGTTGTTTTCAACTGGTGAGGGTGGCAATGAACTTGAAGTTTGATCATCAGATTGATAGGAGATTGCTCCAGATCTCTTGAGCTGCGCAGTGTGAAAAGTGGAGTTGTAATAGGTTCTGGTTCTGTGCTTCTTCAATCATCCTGTTAAAGAAAGAGATCAACTACAAAAAAAAACCCTGAATAGACATTTTTTGGTTCAGTTTGAGGATGCAACATGGCATGTCGGTAGGAATTGTAGCTCTTGGATCTAAGTCTTAGTTCCAATCTGGAGTGGAGTTTGCATTTGTTTTCCCTATGACTGGGTGGGTTTCTCTCACAATTCAAAGAGATGCAGCCTGAGTTAATTGTTGTCTCTAGGTATGTCACAAAGGAATCTATTTAACTTCCCTTTTTAGAAACATGGCAGAATGACTCCCACACTCAATGATCTGAGGATGTTTGGGTTTTTCCACATCTGATTTTAATTATTAACATGAACGAATTATTTAATAATAAAACACTTGTGGAGGTGTTTCTTAATCATTTGGTAATATTTCCTGAAATGTTTAAATTGTTGTGCCACTTTTCGTTGGCGCTGGAAACATTCTGGTGAAATATCTGCATTGGGCCCTGTGGGCTCTATGAAACTTAACTGTGGATCATTATTGAGTATTATGTTACTGCTGCATTTCTAAAAAGACCAAAGGGAACTAATCACCGTTGTGTTTTACGGTGGTTTACAGCGATCACAGGCCTGTTAACTGTGGTTTGGGATTTTGGATGTTAATGTGTGTTTCCTGTGTAATCACTGTCCCTTCTCTCACCTGTTCCACCCCATGATGCTCTGGCCAGATCACCTTGGCCAAAGAGCTGAGGCAGTTTGAGGCCGAGCTGGACTCGGAGATCCAGGGCCTTGAGAGGCGCCTGTCTCAGAAACGGGAGCGCCGAGGCCAGGGTGAGGTACTGAGCCCATTGTGTCTTCTGTGCCAGAGGAAGCGCACGCTGCACGCTGCACGCCGCACGCGGCCACAGGCTCGCACGCCAATCAGATCACACCCCCCAGAGAGATACAGCAAGGAGGCGGGCCTCTCACAGGGTCAGCCAGGCCAGGCAGTCCAGCCGGAGCTAGCATGGGGCCATAGCCGCCAGCCAGCAGTGTAGCACATTCACATCAGTCCCACGCTCCCGGCATTGCGTCTCTGACTGGTGCGCACTGCTTCACAGAGGCGCGCTCGCTTCACGGCTTCAGCGCCGGTGGTTTGGAATCCCAGCCGGGGGCATGGAGCAAGTCAGACGTGAGAGTCCTGGGAAACGGGGATGATGGGTTTCAAAACTGAGCAACTGTCTGTTCTGAAAGAGACACATTGTGCAATTCATTTCTGATCCAGTTTCTTTCCGAGCGTTTTGGTCAAAGTGATTGCTGGATGCTGGCCTCTCAAACAACCCCTAGGGCATCGCAGGGCCTTCTGATTTGTGCTCCAGCTACTTAATTAGAAGAGGTGTTTGAAGAACTGGCCACATTTAACTCTCTGTGGGATATTATAAAAGAATGGCCTCATTTAATTATCAATGAAGTAATAAATATTTCAAAGAGAGAAAATGTATTAATTAAGTAATTGAGACCTCAAATTGGGATGAAATCCAGAAGAACCCAAAGACCTTTTAAGACTAAAGTTTGAGATGGCCACTCTGGGCTGGTCTAATGCTGTATTTCTCTGGGGAAGAGAACACAACTGTACTCTGATCACACGCTGCTTGATTTTGTTACAAATGCAATCTTGGCTGTCTCGGAAGCTCACGTGCATGCCTGCCCAATCCCAGCTTGTCTAATATGACAGAAACTGAAGGATCCTGTTGGATGAAGCCAATCTTGTTTTCTGGATAAAGCGTCTGAGCTGGCATTTCGATTTTCTGGGTGCCTTAAACCAACTGCTTTCACAATTTCTATTAATCATGAAGCCAAGGTTAATGATGAGCACAGCAAAAAACAATGTACAACAAACCTGTCTTGCTTTCCAGTCTTTTTTGCACTTTTTTTTTTACAGAAGCATGAGAAGGACATCTAACACCAGGGCTTTTTTGTGATTTTATTAGACCATGTTCCATTTAAACTGAGCTTTAAATCCCTTTGCTTATTTGCTGTGATGAATGTGCAATAATTTTGCAATTGTGCTTTGGTTTTCCTCTACACTGTACACTCATATTCCTTGCCTTCATAGTTTTTTTCCTATATCTCAACAGCCTTAGCCTATGATAATACTATGCCATATTACAGCACTGATAATTATGTACTGTGATATTATTTTCTGTAGCATTCGTGTAGCAATGCAAAACATGAGTATGGTAATACCCTTGTAAGGAAAAATTGTGGAAAATCTCAATATGTGCTCATAACTATCCAATAGATTTACTATGGTAAATGTCCAAAAGGATTTGATGCTTTCTTCTAGCAGTGTCTACTCTGCACTGGATTGGGTGACACATGGGCTCAATGCCCCCAGATTTGGGAAGCGGATTGTGAAGTTGTCTCCTTCATGTCTTCACCCCTGTTTCTCCTTCTCCTTTCCCCCCTCCTTTTTTCCTTTGCAATTGTTAAACCTAATCTCTTCAACCCACATTTTGACTATTTTGCAGTCCTGATTATATCCTCCCTCTTCTCCAGATTCTAATAGTTCTTTTGATCTTGTTTCTCGTGTCTCTTCTCCTCTCTCCTGCCAAATCCTGCTGTACTCTGCCTGCATACCCTTTCTGCGTGAGTCCTCTGTGTGGTACTACTCTGTGGAGCATAGGACCCAGGGGAGTGTTCTTTCCCTATTTGGGAGTGTCTACGAGGAGCAGGCTTCTGATCTGCTGGGATTTTCTCTGCTCATTTCCACAAGGGGATAGGCTCCTTGGAAGTTTCGGTCTGAGCTCCTGTTTTTTTTTTTTCAGAGAGCGGGGAACAATCAAAGCCCAGCTAAAGTCCAACCAGCAACCAACACACAGGATAGCAGGTGAGTCCTAGTCTGAACAGGTTCCCTGGCTTGTATCAATGTTGACTGTATAGGCATGAAATTGGAGCAAAGCTTCTCTTTTGGGGAAGATCCTAAAAGGCTGGTATTCTTCATCTTAAAGCTGAATCTTTAAGCATGTTTTGTAAGAAGGGCAGAAGGTTTCATCTGATGTTTCAGGAGATGCTGTGATTTTCATTTTAGGATTTAGATTGTCTATTTTTAAAGTTATACTACTGGCTTTAGACCTATAATTGTCTCCAAACAGATTCATAAGTGACTCCATAACTTTAAAAGGCAGGGTGTTGTACAGTGGATCAGACACTTGTTACATAATGTGGAAGCAGCTTTTGCGGATGGATGTATTAAATTTGCTTTGAAGTTTAAAACAAATAACATAATTTATGTTTCTTACTGATTAACCAACTGTTTACTCACCAATGAAGTGAACATGGAGTACAGTACTGTAGTTTAACAAACCCAGGCTAGAATATGACCTAACTTATAGTAAAATGATATATCATCTTTGGTTCTCTTACACCATCAATATAGAGAAGACAAATATTAAAACATCCTTATCTGTGTGATTTACACTTCATGCATTTTGTAAAGCATTTTGAGGGCAGTGATTTGGCAGCTTGCACTACTGATCAATCATTATGATTGTGATCAACACAATTACCATGATTGTGATAGCTGCAACTGTTTTTGAGAGGTTAATTGTGGAATTCTATGTTAAGATGTGGATAGTAAAGCAGTCAGGGAAAAGTCATAATGTAAAATTTTAAATTAAACCTCTTTTCCCTCCTTAGTTTGTTTCAGATCTTTTTTTTAAGTATTCAGAAAGCCTTTTACATTTGCATATGCAGTGCCTTTTTGAGGTACTGCATTTGAAGAGGAAAAATCCTGATGTTACAAACAGAGAAAATAAAATAATGTTAAACTGCTTTGAGGCACTTTTAATTTGCATTCTGAAAATCTGATGCAGACTAATGCAGTTTTATTGGGTTGGGTTTTATTGGGTTTTTCTGTTTAGGAGGGGAATATTTGTAAGCATGGTGTGTTGAGTGAATATTCTTGTGTCTTTTAAGCTGCTTATTTTGCAATTGAGAATTGTATTTGTTGTCAGCAGTTTATCATCTCATGTATTAACAGTCGGAGGTTTCTGATATGTACTTCTGGTACTTCTCTTTAATATGGTTTAAGGCCACAATTCTACTTAAAATGGAAAGGAAGCTGTTAAAACTGGTTAATTAAATGGCAGCAAATTTTTAACTTTTTCTTAACTTTGTCTCGGTGCCATTCAGCAATAGCAAGATCATATCTTCTAAATTGCTCAAGTTCAACTCTCCAAAGCCAGTTAATATACCAGGTGTGGTTATATGAACAGAAATAAAACGGATCTGACTTTTCACTCTCACAATCGCATTTCTGGCAGCTTTCTTTGTTGCTTGACCAAGATTTTTAAAATACAGCTTGTTATGTATTTTACTGCATTCCCAAAAGTTTGCTTGCCTTTGAAATAAAGTAGGTCATGTGAATTAGTTTCCACTTGAACACATATACACACCCTTGACCCAAAATGAGTTAAAGAAGTTGGAGAAATTTCTTTGTTTATTCCAGATTCTTCAAGAAATATAATCATTTTGTGCTCTATTATAACCATCAGATTGGTGCTGTTCTGCTCAGAACACTTACAGAACAACTCAATGTATTGCACTGCCACCTAAGGAAGGCTGTAAGATTATTGCCAGTATTGTCCTTATGGGTTTGACTTCTCACTTTCTGCCTGGCTGGCCTCTGAGATGTCAAACTTTGCTTTGGCACCAATTTTACACATATCATTCCTGCAGGTTACCTGTGGGAATCCAAATGTATTTTTGTTTTAAAGGTTCTTTCAGTCCTCCAGTCTGTCAATACTGAGCCGAGATTCTTAAAGGAGTTTGATGTTGCTTTCTGTTCACTGCGCACTGTGTGATCCAAGAAAGGCTTTAGGTTGGCGAATATGGACACTGGCTTTTTTCAATTCATTTCCACTTTAAAATATTCTTCCTGTTAAGTCACACTACGGCCCTATTTCTCAGATGGCCTTTCAAAGATGAGAGGGTTGTAACTGTGTTACTTGGTGAAAGTGCAGAACTTCCAGCAATTTTAATCCAGCAAAGTTGGTAGCACCATATTTAGGCTGTTTTAAGTTCCAGTTTTGAGCAATTCTCCTTTTTAACAAACAGGACAAAAAGAGCACATGCCCACGCCCAGATTTATTATTCTACCACAGAAATGGAGATTCTTAACCCCTCCTCTGTTCCAATCCAAATCTGACACAGTATTAATGGGCAGCTCTGTACATCTTTTATTGCTAGTGTCAACACCCAGCTATCTGTGGATTTTTTTTATGATTACATGCTTGGGACAGATGTTACCTTTAAGCATAATATCCCAGGAACGCTGCAGCTTTAAGAAACCCTCTCAAGTTAATGGTTGAGCTTTTGGATGCACGCCCACATACCTGGCCTCTGTTAACCTTCCTAACAGACTCCTTAAGCCGATTACGTTTTTCTCCTGTTTGGCTTGTTGTTTTTTTTCAGCAGGAATAGAACACTTAAACAGCCCTGGGGGGTGGATTAGAGATTTTTTCAAACAACCGTAGGCCCTGACACTGTCCTGGGGGTCAGCGCCATCCCAGTTTCTGTCAGCTGTGCTTCCTTCCAGTTTGATGTGGAGCCAGTTTTGGCTCCTTAAAGGGAAACTGCAGTCCCAGTTTCTATGACAGGTCATTAAATATTGGTAACAAAGTAAATGAATTGACGAATCTCAAAGTTAACAATTAATCAAGATTCTAAATTAATCACAAAATCAAGAACTCTGAGCAAGTACTGTGTCTCTGCCATGTTGTCGCAAACAAAACAGAGGATTGAATCGGCAGAAGGTCAGTCTTTTTCCTTTTCCAAGGGGTATTCAACTAGCCAACAGATGGGTAATAAACACGGGAACTGATGTAGGTCCCATCAATAAGTTTCTCAACGAGATGAATAAGTGAATAAGTGCAGGTTATGTAGCAGAAATGTTACTATTTGATCTGGATGTTGAGTTGACAAGTAGTATTTGTCGACAAAAACCATCTCAAAGTCGAAATGTTGCATTCAATTCAATTAAGTTCATTCAAATCGGCAGTCTAGATAAAGTATTTAAAAAACACGTCGCATTGTATGTGTCGCTTTCATAACATCATATAAAAATGAATACAGTAGCAAAATTTGCTTGCTTATTGTAACAGAAATAGATTGTTTTTCAAATATTGTTAATTTGGGATGTGGCACGTATATTGAAATACTACGCTTTGGAGTTTACGTGATTATGAAGACTGACGATTTGATATGAAATATGTAATATGAAATACAATATATTTTAATTTCAGATATTGAACCAAAACTTGTGCTCAAGCCAGGTGCTCTTCCTACAATGTTTGCCCATAAAAAAAAATGATTTAAGGAGAATGCAGTGAGAGGGTGATATCAGTGCTTAATATAAAAATAGAAAAAAGCTACCTTCGCGATTTAAGTTCCTTTTTATTAGTTATGTTTAAGACCTAAGTTAACATCCATTAAATATGGTTTACAACTAAGAGCAATATTTCTGTCGGATTTAAAGAGATACTGTACAGTCAATACAGTGTAATAAGGCTGGTTCGCGCCTTCAGACGTTTTGTTGCCTTGTTCTGAAATGCAGTCAATGACAGCAATATGGCTCTGCACGTATCGGATATTTTGTCGATTTTGTGATCTAAATTGGAGGTTTTACACATTACCAGGTGCTTTATACTTTAATTGTGGTTTGAAATGAGCTCATCAATGCCAATCTTTATAACTGCAAAAGAGGGCAGTTAGGAGAGATTCCTGCCCGACAACCTTTTGGTTGCCAAGGTGTCTGAAATTGAACCCAGTCAATAAATTGACCCAGAGGTCAATCAAGGAATAGGACTGTGTGCCTGTGCTCTAATGTTTCCCCTTAGTGACTCATTGATTCAGTCCCACTAGGCTGGGAATCGACACCAACAGTGTCAGCGTGGTTGATACTTTCAATGCCTTTCTTATGGCTCAGGCACAAGGTAGTCAAGAGAAGCCTTGTTTTGCAAATTAATATCTGACCAAAGTCATATTTTTCAGTTCTAGTAAAATTAATACCTCCAACTACTATTTGATAAAAACAACAATTCTTTCCTTGAAAAGGTTGAACACTTCTTCTCTGGTCTAAAAGGACCCATTTTTGAGTGCCACACCAGAAATGGCATTTGGTGAGCACTCAGAACCAAACTTGATCTCACACTGTAAAGAATGCTCAAATTGTCAGTGTTAGGATCAGACATGGATCAGCTGCAGTCTCGTGAGCCACTCAGAGTTTGTTGTAAAATTTCTTCTGAACTTCAGGTCAGATCAACAACTCACCTTTTGTTTTACACAGTGATCCTAGTCCTCTATTCAATTATTTCCTGGAAACTGCAATCCAAAAAATGAGACAATGTAGCTAAAAACTGTTGATTAAAAAGTAATACGCAAAATAAGAGTTTCAGCTTAAGACATTTTAATACAGTTGTATTATTGTTGGGTCTTTTTTATCTTGCATTCCAAGCAGGAAAAGGGTTGTCAGCCAGGAAGAAGAGCCAGTGCTACATTTCTTACCAATTGCTCGACACATTCTTGGGCTCTTTCAGATTTGGTTGGTTAAAATTAGAACGTGTGTGATGTTTTAGTATTTTCTGAGCCCTACCTCAACAACCCCTTCCTACGGGTGGCAGTGAATGTTTCTCATGAGAAGGTGATTCACAGTAGAAAATGGAAATTTAAAGGGGAATTGATTTTTTTACTTGTTCATTTTGGATATGGAGTTTATATGGAGATGGAATATCTAGACCAAAATTTGTATTTGATCCTAACACAACAAGAATAATATCTATTCTACCACCTGGGTTTTAAATGTATATTGTTGAAAGCTGAAAGAGGCAGCATGACTTGTAGCAGGGGTTTGAGTTTGAGTTTTGTTTGAGGTGTGGGGTGGGGTGTTCGTTCTAATAATGTAAATCTGGTAGCAGGTTGGAAGAAAGCGACGTCCAGAGGTCGTATGTTCCAAATTTATTTTAACTTTATTTATTTATCCTTTTAATTTAGCCTGAGTATAAACTGAGCCAGTGACAGTTAGACATAAAGCGTGGGCGTCTGTATTTTCAATCATTTAAAAACAAATCTCTAATGAGGCTACCTGTCAAAAAAAGCCTTCACTAACACCCCCAAATCAGATGGAAAAAAATAGAAAAATATTATTGTTTATTAGTACCAGATGCTCCATGGGGTGTTTAAAAGTTAGCTGAATTCCAGAGTACTTAGGGAAAGAGCTATAAAGTGCAGTAAAAGAATGTATTTTGATATGCGCAGTTGCCCAATATGTGCATGGCTTCACTCCTTTATTTTTGGCCATTTGGGCTCATTCCAAGACACTAATAGCGTAACATGGACAATAAAACACACCCTTTGTAAAATAATAACAACAATAATAATGAGTAATTAAGAATTACTCTTGAATAATAAAGAGTGCATCATTTTAAGCTGTCAGATGTGGGCATGCGGTCTTTAACAGGGGTATCATCTGGATTTCCTGTTTTGTTTTTTATTTCTCATATGCTTCAGCTGGTCATGTCATGTCATGTCATTTGCCAAACCTGCTTTGCACCATACGGTGCTTCAGCTCGTATCATATAATATTTCATGGCTGTCTACTTGCCAGTTCTTAATGTTGCCAAAAGCCTCTTTCTTTCAGAAATCTCATGTGTCAACAGGCACTTTACTTGCCAATGAGACTGACTTCATGAGCCTCTCTCTTGAGTCTACACATGTAGCTTCACAGTCTGATTCATTGCTCTTTTTCTCCCAATTCCCTTTCAGATTTGCTCTTATTTAAAGGGGGAAGGATATCAGTGCTGCACAGGGTTCAGTATAAAATTGTGTTATATGTGTGAAACAGTTATTAACACCCTACATGAATATATTTTTGTTTCCAAAAGGGAATACAGCACACTGAAATTGTGAAGTGTAGAACAAAAGACTTTGTTGGCACTTTCACAGGCTCTCTTTGTACATATTAGGGGCTGGTTGGGGTGGACCCTAATCATCAACAACCTTATCAGTGCAGTTTTGTTCTTCCTCTTTCCTGAATTTGGAATCAGTTGACTCTCAGCAGAGCTCACAGCTCCAGAACCTGTACTGCACAGGGAGTGTAGGCAACTATACATAACTATACATAACTCCCCCAGCATGGCATTCATCATCTGGCACAGTGTGAGCCCCAGAGGGGCGTAGTGGAAGTGTGCTTTGATTGGTGGAGCATCTAGGCACCTGGACAAGGTGCTGTTTAAGACCCTACCTGACTGATCCTTGACTAGCCATGTACTGATGCTGGCTGAATCCTTTTTTTTTTTATTACCGTTGTCCTTTGAACCCTTATTCTTCTGAATTCATATCGAGGAATGTTATGTTAAAGTTGTACATGCACTAGTTAGGCCTCATTTAGAATACTGTGCACAACTTCGGTGCTCTGGAAACAGTCCAGAGAACAGCAATGGGATGCATTCTGGGGCAGTGCGCTGATTGGCTGAACTCGGGACCTCTTAAGTCTTGAACATTGAAGACTACGAGGGGACGTGATACAAGCATGCCAAATCCTCAAACCCATTGAAAAGTGGATTTCTTCAAAATAAGCAGTGAAATTAGCTCTATCCAGATTCCTAGGCTGTGATGTCACCTTCTGTAACAGGCTTAGTGTCACAGAGGCCTGCTACACATGACTGAAAAGACTTTGAACATATGGCCAAATAGGGCATGCGGCGCGCGAACGATGCCCTTTCCGTTTCCTGTTCCAGGGGAAATGTTCCTGAAGTTGTGAAATGTCCGTGGGCGTTGCCTGGTTAAAAGCGCTGGCTTTGTTGCGTTACTCACAGACGGGTGACTTGCAGTTCTGATTCTCGCTTGTTTGCCTGCCCTGCAGTCCTCTGACAACAGCCAAGCAACCAGAGACGAGAGGGAGGGACTCGGCACCCAGCCTCAGCACTACGCAAGGGGGAGCAGGCCCACTCCTCGGCAAATGTAAGTTAATGTGCAGGCACTATGCTCAATATTTGTTTTCCTTTTTGGCTTCACCTGGGATTACAGCAGGGCCATGAACTCATTTACACAAGGGCAACAGTACAGCACTTTTCTTAGTCTCACTAAGTAATGACCTGTTTTCAACACTGGCTTAAATGTGGTCCTTGAAATATTAGTTCAGCAACTGGATACAGAAGTTACAGCATCTTAAACTGTTGCTATTGATCATAATATTACAATGTATTATGTATCATGTGCACATCACATCAGTAAATACCTCTTTATTGATATTGTGCATGAATTTGTTAATACTTTATGTTTCTAAGTATTTGCCTAATTTCTTCAAAACTGTTTTGTGCTCCCCTGGGTATCTGAAGCACCGAGCAGCAATCAATCTGTTTCAAGCTGTACAATATTTAATGATGAATCAGAAAATCTATGTCTGAACTTCAACTTTTCACGTCTTTTTTTTGCAAATTTGCTCTATCTCAGTGGACAAAACCTACACTTAACCTGACATGCTTGCATGCACTGACGGTCAAACAAAATTATCCAGGGACTGGGATGTCAGAATCCGATAAGACTCAGACAGTGATGAAGCCTTCTCTCTCTCTCTTTTCCAGGCAGTCCTGCCATTGTACCTGAAGTCATGGACTTGCCACCCAAACGAGAGGAGAAGAAGGTAAAAAGAGTGAAAGTCGCCAATATCTCATTAACAGGAGTAGCCCAGACACACAGCTGCTGCTGTCTCTTCAGTCTGTGCAACAATGCCTGTTCCTTCTGTTGCTATCATAATATGGTTTTAATCTATAATACCCCTGGGTGGTAATCTTTATTGAGGGTAGCACTTACTGTGATTCATCAGAGTATCACAGGAGGTTGGGACAGTTCAGCAGCTGAGGATGATAACCTTGATTGTGTTTCTGCAGATGAGAGCAGCCAGAGCCAAGTTCAATTTTCAAGCACAGTCTCCCAAGTGAGTATAATAATGTGTCTTTGTGCAGGACTGAAATCTCAGTGAAACACAGTGGTAGAGTGAAGCACAATACAAAAAGGAGGAAAAGCTGTCACAATGGAAAAGAAATTACTCTTCTAGCATGATAATGTCATGCAAAGCCATTGTGTGGTTTTACTATGATAAATGTTCATAACACAGACTTCAGCTGTGCTAACCAGTGCCTGCTCTTTAAGTTAATAGCTTTTCTATATTTACATCTGAGAGAGTACATGCTGCACAGTATGTGGTATCCTTCGTGCATTAGCTATGGGTATATCTCAAGATTAAATAATGTGCAATGCCATGCACAGGACCTTTTTTCTGCAAATGTATCCACTCCAAACCAGCCACAGCTTGGTAGACTGATTTGCACACAGACAGAAGAAAGTTAAACCTATACAGTATGTATGGATAAGATTACAAAACCCTTCTCTTGCAAATACTATACGGAAATGCACAAAAGTATATTTATTTTAAAACTAAATTTGGCTGATTTATTTTTTAACTTTGAAGAAGTACCATAGGTAAAGATTAATCATCAGCCAGTGGGACAAGGTAAATGACATTAAGTTACCACAGAGTAAAAACACTTAGAGAACTCTGTAGATTCAGCTCTACATTTATGGCCCATTAATGGCCAAGTTTGTCAACGAGTATGATAGAGCAGTATGATAATAAGGTCCCAGGCTTCTGTGTTTCTCATCTTGACCTTGGCCCCACAGAGAGCTGACCTTGCAGAAGGGGGATGTGGTTTACATCCACAGGCAGGTGGATGCCAACTGGTTTGAAGGGGAGCATCATGGGAGAGCTGGCATCTTTCCAACCAGCTATGTGGAGGTAGGTCTCAAACCCACCACTTGCCCCGTAATCCTCATAGTTCTTGTATTAATGGTTGATTTTTCTGAACTGTTACTGATTGCACTGTAAAAAAGGGCATTTTTTATTAGTAATAATGAAGAAGGTACATTATAGGGATTACATTTTCATGTGTTCAGTATAATTGTAATGTGGAATCCCATTTCTGTTATTTGGAATCCTATTAGTGTGGAGTCCTGTTATGTTTTAGACTAAATGGAAATAGATATAATAAAGTTTTACAAATAACATTTGACTTACTATACATGGACATCTTCCCTTTTTCTAAACCATCATTACACAGATTTTCACAGTGTGGTCTGTGTGAAATGTTTAAAGTCCTTAGATTAAGGGCTCAATGCCATGTCAAGAGGCCTAAATGAATACATGTGTTGCAACAAACACTGGTTATGTACACTGGAGTTGCCACTTCCTAACTTGTATGTGTCTCACGTTACAGGATTACCATCTACAGTACATCCAGTATGGCACGTTACAGCTCCAGCATCTACTTATTTATTTAATCTAGGATATGTAAGCCTGGTATATGCAGTGTAAAGCAGAGGACATTTCAGATGCAAGATCAGATCTGGATTGGAGGCCCAGGCTGTAAAGAATTTCCCCGGTCTGGAGCAGTGGCACAGTCGCCCTGGGTCATGCGTCCTGATCTCCACTTTCCACTTCCTGTCCTTGTTCTCAGATCATCCCCCCAACAGAAAAGCCCACGCCCATCAAGTCGCCAGCCGTCCAGGTGCTGGAGTACGGGGAAGCCGTGGCTCTCTTCACCTTCGCTGCCGACCTGCCTGTGGAGCTGTCCTTCCGCAAGGTCAGGGCCCCCTGTGTTTGTCTGTCCCTGGGGTGAGGTGGCTCACTCTCTTACTTCACTAACGTCTTCAAAGAGTTTGACATCTGCCCCGCAGGTGATGAGGATTTTTACTGCCACTCTTAAATCAAACCACTGGTTCTAAATACACCTGCCTTGAAGCACACTCTGAAAGAGTAACTACTGTATGCAGCTTCGTAGAGCTGCAGTGATCTATGCAGAGTTGCAGGAATCCCCAGAGCATGAATTCATCGATTTTTTTCCGCTGCGGAACTAGTATTTTGTGTGTGTGTGCTTGATTTCCACTCCCTTGATTTACCTACATCAACCACTGGCCCGCTTTGATTTACACTGGAATTATCCTGCCTCTACGGCTCCTTTTAGAATGGCATTTTCCAGATGAATCCTGGATTGTATCAAATAATGAATTAATTTTTGCAATTACCACAAAACTCTCTTAAGTCAGCAAAATTCAAATGTGACCTTTACTGCAGGACAATATAATTGTCTTGGGATTTCATCTTTTTATTCAGGATTGCAGCATTATATATGATGACCGTGTTGGCAGTGTCCTTGTACCGTTAAATATCGGGGTGTCTTCTGAGAAAGCGTACCCAGCCTGGTAACTATGTGTTTCTCCCAGGGGGAGCGAATAACTGTGACCCGTCGTGTAGATGACAGCTGGCTGGAGGGCCGGATCCAGGGCACCTCCCGCAGTGGCATTTTCCCTGCAAACTACGTGCAGGTGATCAAAATGCCACGCACGAAGTCCACCGACGATCACCCAGGCTCCCCCACCTCCCCCATGTCACCCTCCCCGATGAGCCCCACCCAGCCCCAGCAACCTCTTTCTCCTCGCTCTCCCAATCCCCCAGCTCCACTCAGCGCCCCCCGACCAAGCCCTGACCCTCGCCACTCCCCCTCTGGGCAGCAGAGTCCTTCCGGGTTGCGTTTCCCCCAGTCCCTGTCCTCCCCAGCTCCTGCTGATGGAGCGACAGTTTTCTGGCCCCATTCCCCACAGTCCCCCCCCCCTTCCCTGCCACAGCCTGGCCCCTCCCAGCCTTCTTCTCAGACCTCCCTTTCCAAGCCTGCCTCTTCCCATTGGACCAAGTCCACCTCTAGCCCTGCCTCCTCCCCGCCACAGACAGGACCATCCTCCAATCACTGGGGTGGGAGCCACCCTACAGGCCACACCCCCTTGAACAGGCAAGCTGGTGCTCCCTTGTCACCATCCAGTCCATTTCCAGTGTCTTCCCAGTGGGCGGGTACAACGTCAAGCAACATCCCCAAGCAGGTGGGTGTTCTTCAGATGATGGTTTTTCTATTTAGAGCTTGCAATTCTTATTTGCAGTTCCAAAGCAAAAGTACCTAATTCTTATGCAAAGACAACTAACCTGAGAATACACAACAGGCTATACACTGTAAGCAAGGTACCACTGCAAAATTAAAAGGAGGTTATGAAATTAGGCCTGCTTAGAGTCCCCTAGCATAATATGCAAACTCCCTGCATTGCAATTACAAAAGCTGTATGTCATTAACACAGCCTATTTGTTCCCAGAAGCAAGAAAATTTGTAGACTGTGCGTCTGATCACCTCTCCTAATTACTACTTTATATATCCTTTTAGGATGGGTTACCTTCTAACTCCATCCAGGGCAGTTCCAAGTCTTCAGCCATACCACAGATACCACCCCATCCTGGTCCATTGCAGCTCCAGAGGCAACCGTGAGTTACAGAGCTGATGCTGATCTGCTTTCACGCAAGAAATCATGCAGACATTAGTTCGTCAGGAATGTGATGTCAGTTGCTGTTTTTCCTTCTCTATTTAGTTAGGTTAAATTGGTTAAGTTGGAGACAACCTGTGACATTCTGTAATATAGAGCATTCTGTGTAGAATTGGCTTACTCTTTTATTCGTTTTTGTATTAATACAATTTCTAGCACTTCCAAAACACGTTAGTCTATACTCTATACCTTGTTAACAAGAATCACGTATTACAGAAATGCAAGTTCATAATCAAGACTATTGGTTCATTAGGCTAGAGATTATACCAGTTTCTGTAGCATTAAGCAGACTGAAAGTGTGTGACATGCCCCACTCTGTATGGGGCACCAGTTCATCATAGAATTCCACAGTAATCTTGTACAGCTGGGAGGACTGGGAGTGGGTATAACGTACTATGCTCAAGTCTGCAGTGTCCAGTGCAGAGATTCAAAACTTCCACCTTCCAGTTCATAGCCCAAATCTCTACTTCTCCCAACACACAGAGCTCAGTAACACACTTACAATTAAACAGACCAGCATGGCATAAAAACTGCCTTTTTAAAATAAAATACTCCATGGTGTTGTTAACAAATGAACTGGTTGTCAATGATGTACCTCTTTCTGAAGTATCATACCTACTTTGTAAGTTTGTCTTGCTATTTTAATTGATCAATGATTCCAGTAAGTTAATATTTCAGGAGGACATGCTGCACTAGTATAAGTATAAGTGTATAAGTATAAGTGTGTTTGAAGTTGTGCAATTTTCTGAAAGCCTTAAAACTGAGGTGGGCAACCCTAATCCAGGAAGTCCCTTTAAATGAGCAGCTGCTTTAAACCTGGAAACAGTGTTTAATTGCTGCAGTTCAACAGACGTACTGTATGTTGTTAAATTAAGTAGGTGAGGTCTCAGCTGGGATGATAAGAAAGCCAAATAGGACACGGGTTAAAGTTTAAAGAGTCACTGGTCCATTGTCAATGTTATGTCCACATGGACAGACATAAGGAAGTGTCCAGTTAAGAGTTTGAGAAGTTTCTGTTGCTCAGGCCTGTGGTCTGCAATGTGTCTGCAGCTCCTAACTGTCTGTACTGTCCTTCCACCCTGCCCTCTCAGGTATAAAGCAGTTTACAACTACAAACCCCAGAATAGAGATGAGCTGGAGCTGTGGGAAGGAGACATTGTGCAGGTGATGGAAAAGTGTGATGACGGCTGGTTTGTAGGTAAATTATTTTTTTTCTTTTCAGCCTAAGCTTGCAACATTGTCTCTTCTCATTTGAATGTTTTATTGGTATTCTGTTGCCTATCGTTCAATGGATTTGTGGCAGATGTTTATTGGTATGTCTTTAAGAAACAGAAGGTTAACAAACATCTCCAGTGTAGCTTGAGTCTTTTCCTGACCATGATGCACTGGGACAAAACAAAGTTCTTCCACCTGATTCATGTTCTAAGTGGTTTATATAAATAGAAATACAATATTTGTTTATTACTAGTAATTAAAAAAATATTACATATTTATTTAAAAAGCACACCTATGTTGTGTTTAATATGATTTTATTGTATTTGTAACACAAAACCTACCCTAAAGAACAAATATTGCTCAGCATGTAACCTTAACCAAACTATAGCTCTGCTGCCCTCTCCCTGCTGTTTTCCGTCAACGGTTAGATTTGTGTACAGTATATACTCTTAAAAATTAGGATGTAGAAGGTGTATTATTATTATTATTTTTATTTTTATACTGTATGTATTCTGAAATTACCTACCGGTAACATTAGACCACTATCTGTAAATGGAATTCATTCTGTTTTTTTAAAGCCAGAGCTCTGACTTAATGGAATCCAGCAATAATGTGTTACAGATTTTGAAATTGGGTCAGATGACACTATGATGTTTGTATGAATTAATTGTTTTGTTCAAAAAAGGATGCAAAGATTTTACAAACACCTAAAGCTAGATATGCCTATTGTTAAGGTAGATGCTTATTGGTAATTTGGGAGAGTTATACATTATAACAGCTCCTCTTCATTCTCATGTAAAACAGTATCCCTGGCATCTTTAGCGCATCTTTACCACTCATCTCTTTTTGCATGGAACCCATCCACAAAAGATTCTTGTTTTTTCAGGCTCAGAAAAGAAGAGAAAGACTGCCACCTACTGGTCTGCCTTTCCAAGTACATTGAACATTGTTTGTCCATGAGAAATCCAGGGCACTTAATAAATTCCAAACGTTTTGCATTATGCACTGAAGGTTTATGCACTGTTCAATAAATATGACCGTGCATCTTTAGAAGTATAATTTAAATTATTGACAGGTTTGGCTGATTTTCTTATTTATCAGCTTTTTGATGACTTTGATGTACTTAAAATGTTCACACAGATGTTTTGTTTGATACAAATTCCCTTTCTCACACACCAGGTACATCAGAGAGGACTCGAGCTTTTGGAACTTTTCCAGGCAACTATGTGGCTCCTGTCTAACTGCATAAGGGCACCCTACAGAGGACTGCCGCTTGTTGCCAATCGTAATGCCAATGAGCTTTATCCCTGGAGAGGACTGAAGAATACGGATAAGAGTCCAATGTGCTTTGAGAGAATTGCAGCTTGTTGCTGACAGATACAGTGACCACTAATGAATGCATTCAGTACCCTGTCCTTGATTCACCCTGTTTCTACACCCTTTGCAGACTAAGTTAACCATGCATCAGACCTGGAACCTTTCAGTTATTGCTGCACTTGTTTAACCTGTTTCAACCTAAACCTATTCAGAGAATAATTTTGTTCAATGTAATTCTTACTGGCCTTGATGGATATGAAGAAGAGGTGAAGATTGAGTCACATCATCAAGGATTAAATATTCTCACGTTTACAAAAAAGTCCTTTGTACAGTACAAGCCACACATGGATCCCGCCTTATCCTGGCTGACTGTGGATTCTTCTACAAACAAGTCAGTTCAAAGAGATATGCAGCAGAGCCAGATTTTGGCTGGCTGTCTTGGCTGCAGATGATTCCATGCCTGACTGATGTACAGCAAAACCTGACAAGCTTTTCTACATTTGTAGACCACCTCAATATCCTCAGTATGTTACTCTTTTTGCCATCAGCAGTGATTAGTGCCACAGAGAAATGTCCCAGTAACTTGAATTTGCAGAAAGGAGAAAACGATTCATCCCAATGATTGCTGATCTGGCTCTTCTGAAAATATTAGAACATCTTTGAACTGATTTTTGAAGAACAGCAATTAATCAGAGAGTGTGACTTGGCATTCTTCTATACCTGCCCCCTATACCAGTTCTTGTTTGTACTGAGTCTTCCCCGTCAGCCTTCACTTAAAGGTGAGCATTTTCATTAGGTTAAGCTTAATGCAGAGCCAAAGACACTGCAAAGCAGTGAAAGAAGTTCCGAAGTGGTTGAATGAAAGTAATGTTTTCAGGTACTGACTTTTGTAGAACTTTCAGCCATTTAAAGTAGAAATATACAGAAGAACACTCAAATTGTTTACATTCAGTCTTCTGGAGAAAGAATTGCCTTGGACATTGCCAGATGCACTTTGAACTAATGTGGCAAGATGGGCAGGAAGCTCAGAATCCAGATTAGATGACTGAATGTTTTAAGTAATGTCTTCATATAATTATCTGGCGCAGTTTGTCTCTCTAACAGAATGACTGAGCGAGGGGAAATTGGACAAGGAAGTGTGCAGCAGCCTTAGAACACCTTTGACATTTTCCTAGATCATGGTGGAAAAATGACAGGAAACAGGTGACTGGTGCTACGAATACCTACAGTAGCACTAAAATATTGTAGAACGAGCAATTCAGGGAATAATCACTGCCTACGTGTTCAAAAGTAAAGGGACTTTAAACCATTGTATTGAAAAAAAGCAACCTGTGAATCGAACGTTCAGTATATCCCGCTAATCTACTTGATAGATCCTGTTAAATTGATCCATTTAGCAAATGTGTTCTTCATGCTGACAAGAAAATACTGTTGGCCCTTTTTGGTTCAACTTATATTTTTTAACACCACACCAGCTTTCTTTGCCTGTGGATACTGAGACGGTGCTAAGTCAGCTCTAACTTTTTTTTCTCTCGGATTTCTGAGGCTGCTCACCTTTTCGGCTGGTTTATGCCGCTGCCTGGGATACTGGGATATGGAAGAATAAGCAAAGTTGCTCAGATGTAATAAAGAACAGTTGAAAACAAGAGGCCTTTCTGTGTGTCAGAGCACAAAAAAGCCTTGCACACTGTTCCGTCCCCCAGTGAGCTGGATGTCTTTCAAAGCTCCGTGGCCTTGTCTTTATGAACAGCGTTATTCAAATTGTTATTTTTTATTTTCAGTCTTCTTGTGTATTACACATACACCAGCCATATAATAACAGATCCCATTGTGAAGTACAGTTTTCAAGGATGCCTTTTCAGTGTTGCCCACTGTTGACTGTGCCCGTGAACTGTAGGATACCTATGTCTCTTTTTTGCAGTTTAACTGCATTTTCAGAGGAAATGGAAAACTGCAAAAGTCTAAAAATAATGCAAGACCACATTGATGTGTAGTGGTAAGTTAATATGGGTCACCTGTTCACAGGAAATGAAGATCACAGAAAAGTACAGGCAGACTAGGGTCATTATTATACCAGATATGCTGTAGCACAGACACTGCTTTGTTAATTGAAATAAGAATTTTACAGAAAGAAATAATATATATATATATTTTTGCCTTCAGAATGTATATCATTGTTATATAAGGTACTCATTTATTTGGATGGATGTTAAAAAAGTATGATAAATAAATGCATTAAGTATAAAATTAATGAAATTTGTGATCTATGTCTCCACATTGGTATTACTTTTCTTAAACCTGCTAAAAAAGCAAGTCCATACAAAACAATATACATGCCTTTAATAATACTAATAATATCATATGAATATGATATAGCAGGTTTTGTGATACATCATTTAAGGTACTGTACCACTATGCATCTGTAAACTTTATGATAACCTATAGGCTTTTCACTGTGGTTTCTTTTCCATAAAGGGGTGGAAATATGATTGAAAGTCACTACTTTTTGTGAATATGCAGAATTGTGTTGTTTTAATAAAACCACTTGTTAATTAGTAAAGTACTGCAGCAACTATGTTAAAGACGAGTGAAATAGGGAAGAATTAGGAAACAGGGAATTAATTAGGAAGAATTAAAACACTTTTTAGTTTTTTTAAAGATGCATGTCCTTTCAGACGTAAATGTTACTCTTCTGAAAATCAATGTTAACCACTTCAGACTAATCAGGTTATGTAAAGGAAGACGCTGTTCTAAAAGAAAAGAAATGAATTAAGGATGTGGCGTCCCAAATATCTTGTACGCACATTTTATTACATTTCAATAAGCAAATGTCAAGAATAAAACAATGCCACCCTGCCCAGTTACTGTTGCTGCTAACAACCTCTTATGGCCTAGAGAGTATCAGTGTTGTGTTAGAATTGCAGATCTTAAGAACTTAATCCAGTGGCTAAATACCTCTTATGGGGTTCTCCTAATGGGAACTGTAACAAAAGGCAAAACTGGTTGGGTGGCAGATCTGCCTTGAAAACTGAATTAAGCAGAGCTTGTACTGTATGTGCAAACAGAAACCATAACACTGAATCACTAAGAAAACACTCACACAATAACAGAGGCAGGCCTGTCCCTAAACAGGAGGAAGAGCCAGAGGACATGAACTGTGCCTTTCACACGTGATACTGAAGAGGTGTTTAATAGCTGAAGACACTGCAGAGAATGAAACGAGCAAATGGAAACGTTTGTTTAAAAAAGTGTAATTCCACTGCTCACAAACACTCTCTTCACGAGGAACAGAAGACACTGGGAGCAGATATAAATGTAGTACAATTGTAATCCAAGGTATGTTCTTTGAAAATTGAATGATGGTTGTATGATGTCTTGTGTTTTGCTCGCAGTAACGTTTGCCTTGTGTGGATTATGGAGGGAGAAAGTCCAAAGAAGTGTTGGAACTTGCAACTAACACAACTATTTGACTTTTTTAACAGCTTTTTTTAACATTTAGTTAACAAAGTTTCCAAACATGTCTAAGTAATGCTTGTATTCTATTTTAATAGTGCAAGCCCATTATAATGGTTTAACTGGAGAGCCTGAAAGTCAGAAAATGTGCCCTGATGTAGAATAATTTACAGTAAGGATGTTTATTCCTTTGGAAAGGATTGTGGTTCTAAACAACCCCTGTGGTATCCAACGAGTTGAGTAAGACACAACAGTTGAGGTTTTAGGTTTTAAACAGCAAAATGTTGCTTGGTTTGAGAACAGTATCCACAGTGTCTCAATGAGCAACATTATTCCTTTTAAAGGATTATGACGAGTGTCCACAGCAATGATCTGAATGGGTCTGTTTGGGACAATTAAATTGTTCCACCAGTGTTTCACAGTAAGTAGAGAGCCCTGAACAAAAAAACGAACTACTGCAATTAGATAAACAACAGGGACAAAATATCACATGTAAAATTGCAACAGACAGAAAAAAAAAATCTTAAAAAGTACGTTGATATACTTCCATGGGAGTATAGGTGGATTTTCACCATGCTTATTCCTCTACAGTATGTGCTTTCAGGGGGTTTAAAACCAGAGTGGTTATTTCGCAAAGGAAATAACTACAAACGGAATTAGCACCAGAGTTTCAGACAGAAAATACTATAAACAATTGGAAGAGAAAGAACGTAGCATTGGGTTATCTTGAATTTGACTCTAAGATACAGTACATTATCCGAAACTGTATATCATGTTATATACAGTATGTGTGACCTCTGCTGATGAAAATACTGGAAAAATGCCCGTGAAATAATGAATGACCCAATCCAAACCATAGAAACCGTACTGCCAAAATAGCACCTGAATCCTGTCACCGCCCTGTTTAACATTCTGAGCCCCTTAAGTTTTAAATATGTACAATATCAGTAGTTGAAGCCAACAGCAGTGTTAATAAATTAAACTTAGTATGCATGGGGGAGTAGTGGGAATCCACAAGGCCTTCACACAGGAATTAATCAAAACCTGAAATATGTAGCACTTTTTATTCCATGTCCACGCACCCCGTAAGTACTGTATGTTCTGTATGCACGCCGCCTTATTCTAAACATTGGTTGCGGACAGTACCGATTACAATCTGCAGATGGCGCCTTGAAACTAATTCTGCACGGATCTCGCATATCTGCCTAATTAATCTCGGTTTCACATCTCAATTAACCCCCCCCGAAAAAAACACACCCGCTCCGCCCTGCCCTAGAACCAGTACTTCATATTTTCATTAACACGTGGCATACGATGATCTCATTTTTTTAAAGTCATAAGTTTGTTTCTTTTTCACGTCACCCTGTGGAAACTACTGTAGGTAGAGGAAACTTGAGTTTAATTTTTTGAAGTTAGTGAATAAGTTCTTTCACTGCTCGCGAAGAGGGGAGGCTAGATGGCGCACGGTCACGTGGTCTCATATATATAACAGACAACGCTAATCACTCATAGAGGAGTTTGCTCGACGTCGTGTGACTCTTTGACAGCTTGGAAGAAGCTGAGATAAAAACAAGTCTGCTCCTCGTTTCGAGAACCCCCAGGAGCAATTCGTAGTGTCTCGTCGTGACGCGCTTGCCGATTCAAGTGTTCAAAGCAGAGCTACAGGTGTGGACCTATCGACGTCTGTCGGCATTCAGTCGCTTCCTTTTGTTACTGGTGCTTCATCAAAAAATCCTTTTACGTGCTGGTAAGTATGTTTGTTTGTATGTTATTTCCTGAGCCTAGAACAAGCTAGATAGCTGTTTTATGAAGAGTGGTACAGGTTTCAGCGTCCTTCAGAGTTCAAGGTAACATCTCCGATACTCTGTGGCTGTGGTGGACATCAAATCGTTTGCTTTTATTGGGGGAAAAATAAATACGGGCCTCGCTTTTCGTGTAATTCCTTTTACACGAAAGTGCATTGACTCCGATAGCTTGTTTTTAATTTACTTGGAAGAATACAGTTGAGAAGAGACGGAACAACGCACCTTGCCATTAGATCTCTTAATAAAACTGATGGAGAGAGGCGGCTGTGGTAGTTGGTCTATAGGCAGCAAAAACCTACTGTATGAGGGTGGGTGGAGACTGAGCTACAGTACCACTTAAACATCGGGCTGTACAAAGTCCTCTTGTATACTGGTAATTGTGTCACTTGTGCAAAATCTGAGATAACGTTTTACTGCTTTAAGAATTTTTATACGTTTCTCTTTACGTCAACGCTCCGTTTGTAATTGTTTTTCTGTTTGGCATCTACCCATTAAAATAGACAAGAGTGTACGAAACCGTCTAGAAACACATCCCATCTTTATTCGAAACTAAATGTTTGCTGTTGTGGAAATTTCCGCTGCTCTGTTGCGGTGGAGTGTTTTGTTTTTTTATTTATTTTATCATGTTTATCCTGAGGTATTGCTCGTGGTAGTCGTGATAGCCTTCTAAACCTGACCTGTTACTTTTGATTTCAGTTTTTGGACCTTGTAATGCAGAAAATCGATTTATATTATCTTTGACCTCGATGAGCAACGTCATTTATGGTGATCGTTGCAATAGATTCCTGTGCTTTACAGGTGACACCCCTGTGAAGTGTTCCCTTGCTTAGAGGGGAAAATCTCTCGGCAGATAATCAGCAATGAAACTTAACAAGATGCTTTTGGGTTCATGGATTTGAAGACCTCGTTATAATACTTCTCCGCTTTTAACACCACGTTTTTATGTGACTGGAGGGTTTTTGTTGATCTCAGTTCCGTTTTGCGGTAAACTTAGCGGTTTGGTCGATTTGTTCATTATCTGCAAGTTTCCTGAGACGTACAATGTCTCGTTAGTGATGTCTGTGACAAGGACATGCAGAGGAAAATCAGTCTGAATTTCAGCGCTTTATGAGAGTTGCTTTTCGGTTATTTTCGTGTCTTATTGATACACTTAAAGTAATTATTCGGAATGTGAAAAGAAATGTACAGTAGTCTACTGGAAAAAAAACACTTAGACGTTTAACGTACTGAATTTGGTGCGTCTTGTTTCGGTTTCTACAGGTGGACGCAAGCTGTCAATATCTGGTGCAGCCTGTGTAACCTAAAACGAGTACGCTAGTTTAAGGACATATTTAGGATATATTGCTTTTTTTTTGTAAGTTGAACATAACGTAGATATGGGAGTGTACATTTTTTGCATTTCTATAAAAAATCATTTCTATAAAAGGATTAATTACTCTACTATGTAACGACAGTTACAGTCTCTTTCAGTGCAGCGGGACCGGCCAGTTAGAGTAGGTCAGCAAGTCGAATTTGAAAAATCTGTATTGGTGTGTTCTGTCATGTTGGGATGAAGAGTGCTTTATTGTTTAGCAATTGCTTAACATTACAGTCCAGTCTAATGACTCTTACACAGCTGTCAACTGAAAAAAAAAAATCCATCTTGGTAAAGCAAGTGTTACTACTTAGTGAAAACTTCAAAAGGATTAGCAAGCATGTCTAAAATGAAAATGATCACCTCTGTTTTTTTTAAAAGAATATGTATAATCACCTAAGCTATTTGAATTTGGAACCTGTTCATGCAGAATTACATTTCTACAGTGTGTTGCACAGGAATGAAGCTCAATGACCATCGCATTTCATCCCCCAAGAATATTTTTGTTTCCTACAGTGATGGTTGTTTATTGCTCTGAATTACAATCCCCGTGTTTTGAAATCCAGACAGTTAGTGTAAATCTGCACTTTCATGTTCTTGGCATGGAATAAGCCTTCCTTATGTTGGAACTGTCAGCTTCTGCAGTACACCTCCCTGGGTGCCTTTTCAGCTCCTCCACAGCCTTGTCGCAGCTGGAGTTGGGGAATTAAGAGTTGAGTCTTTGTCCAGCGGTGTCAAACTCCGCTGGTGGGCCGTAGTCCTACTGGTTTTATTAGTAGCCTTGTATGGTCAACAAGCAGAAATCTGGAAAGCCTTTTGACTGCCGATTTAAGCAACTGTATGATCCAGTTATGCGATTCAGAGCTCATGGGTTTTCCAGGACTGGGGCTACAGATTTATTTCAGAAAGTGACTTTGCAAAAGACTGGAGTCCATTAAGCCATCAGAATACTTGAATCGGGCTCTTATTTGTTTTTGTTTTTTTATTTGTGTATGAGTTGCAGCTCTTCCAGCCCCTGCTGGGGTGCGATCCAGGTTGTTCTTGAGCTCCGGACCTGCACAGCGCCACTCCCTAGAATGCCGATAACTCCCCCACACTAATAGGCTGGTCCTCTGTCGCTGGAGAGTTGTGTGTGACCCAGCGATGAGTGCCACTGAGCTCTACCCCTGCCTAGATTGGATCATGATCTGCGTGGACTGGGAGGCAGGCAGTGCCCCTCTCTTTCCTGCAGCGAGGTCTGCTGTGCCACAGGAGCAGCTCCCCTGCTCTGGCAGAGTTTTACAGTCTAGGCTTTCAGAAGAGGTTGGCAACTACAAACACCGCAGCGCAGTGAGCTCTGTTCCACGTACTGCGCATGGCTGAAATCTGCAGTATAATCCCATCCTATACAACTGGTTTTCCCAGTCCTGGTCCTGGGGTACTACATACCTACTGTTTTTTCCCCCCATCTGTGTACTTAAATAATTCAACCATCCTTGGACCTGAAATAGTTTTTATTTGTACTCTGATTCAGTTCCTCAACATGTAGTCGCCTTTAATTATGTTTTTTCCGTAACTTCACATCTATAGCATGGAGGAGGGGAAAAAAAAAACAATTTGCAGAGGTTCTCACCAAGCGGCTTGCCGGTCCGTTTAAGGATCTGTTTGGTAAAGAGCTTGGCTGCTCAGGGCCGAGATCAGGGTTCCCTGCTACAATACACCTTTCTGTGGTTTTTGCATGTTCTTCAAAGACCTTCTCTGGGAGTCTGTTTCCACACCTCGTTGTACCTGGTTTCTTCAGGTGTGTCTTCCCCAATGGCAAGAGGAATTGGGTGCAGTGATGTCCGTAGGAACAGAAAGGAAGAATCACTCAAGTCCAAGCTTCACATTTGCCTGTCAGAGCTCCAGGCTTGGCTGTACTGTATGCTTGTCACACCTAATGCAATCTTCACTTTGAATTGGGAAATATGCACGCTTTGAATTCTTTGAGACAATATCTCCTCCCGACTCCTGTCTTTGTTGGTATGTAATAAAATGTGAATTGTTGAGGTTAATGCAGTGAGGTGGAGTGTTGTCCCCTCTTTTTGTTCCAATTTCAGAGCCACTCGTCTCTGCTGACATGCCTTGAAAATGTTTAGGGAAGTCCGAAAGACAAATCTTTGCTTGCATCCCAGGCTTCTCTTTTTCCACTCCTCTCCCATATTGCTTTTGTTAAACTTTTCTCCAGTGCAGTTTTCTAAATGCATCGATGTGTCTTGAGAAATGCATGGTGTAGTAGCAGTGCTGTTTCAGCCTCATTGCTGCAGAAGTAGTCTGTTGAAGTAGTGCAACGGTATTTAAACAAAACAAGGGCTGTGCTCCCTTGTGACGTTCTTAAAAGCTGTCGTGGAGGTTTTGAGAGAGTTTGACTGTATAAGTAAGTGGTGGTAAGGGAGTCTTGAATTGAAAGCAGAAATTTATTCCAGAATTAATTAGCAGTAAGCTTTTTGTCTCAACTTTAGCATGCTAACTCAACGGAGACATTAAGGGTTTCCAAAGGAGGCAGACAGGGACTGCATATTCTCTAAAATACTGCTTTTTATGATGATTTCTTCTACAAGAGGGAAGCATTGTTTCTGCATCGTGCTCAGAAGCTCTAGTGAGCACTAAACAGAGTACTGATCAAGCATGTTTTAAGTGCTTTCCTTAAACTGGTTCATGTATTCATTCTGAAACTGAATTGCGTGAGCTATTTAAGTCTGACCACTTGTTAAAAAGGCTCTTCAGGCACGAAACAGGCCTGCTGTCAAGTCACCCAAAAATATTACTATTCTGAGGGGTAAAGAAAAGGGCATCATATCTGATACGAAATGAGCAAATGTGACATCTTGATCATTTTGGACTATGAAATTAAATCCTTGTACTTCATTTTGCTAATGCATTGGGGATATCCGATTTTGCCATCCTATCAATTAACCTCTCTATTGTATTGTTTTTGTCCCATACTGATTCTTGACCCTGAATTAATATTCCCTTCTTTCATTTTCAGTCTATTTCCTGCCCTAAATGACACAACCCCCTAGCTGTGATGCAACATTGTACTGAAATGCTGCAAGGCATTAGAGGAGTTTTATTTTGCAAAGGGGCATGTTGAAGGGACACAAGGTACTTTGGTGTTCCCTCCACCCAAGCGTGCTTTCTTAGGCTGACTGAGGGTAAAAAAAAGAAGTTTGTGCTCATCTCTCTGAACAGGAGTTGTTACTTGGATCAAGATAATCTTCTATTAAGAAAACTAAAAAATATTTTGATCATCAATGTACCTCTCGTGTAGAAATGAAATTGCATATCTTAGTTTTGACATCCTTGTAATTAAGGATTATTTGCTGTGTAAAAGGGGTCCTTTAATACAAGTGTTGTCTGGAGTTGATATACAGGGCAAAAAGCAACCTTTCCATTGTTTGGGCAGCTTCAAAGTCTGCTAGCTGCAGACTCCTGTATATTAGCCAATACAACGTTCCAGGTATTTTACCCCTGCCATCTAGAATACTTTTGTGAAGATAAAGGTCAGTATGTAAAATAATACTTTTGCTTTTCTGTTTCACCAGTACAACCTCAGTATGCCAGGCTTCA